ACAACCCTATACAGCTGAAGATTCCTCTATACAACCCTATACATCTGAAGATTCCTCTATAAAGCACGTCACTGCTATGGTATTATCGTGTCTATCTTACCTTTGGTGACATCGTTGCTGCATCTGGTGTACAGGTAAGGAGGTGCAACTGAAGCACAGAGCGCCAGTATTAGCGATGACGATCACGGATGGCACGGGCTGCCCTCTACCGGACTCCGCAGATGTGAGGAGCGAGCGGGCGAAACAACCCGACATGAAGGCCGGTCACAAGATCGTCATCGCCTCGATGGAACAGTTCAAGGTGAGAAGTCCATAGGTCTGAAGTTGAAGTATTTGCTTGGAAAAAATAACGTTAATTCCGCGGAGGCCGTGCTCTGAACGAAGAGCTAGTTAGTATAGCCAGAAATTTTCACGGGAGTCACACAGACTCCCGCATATGTTCGAAATCAGGGATGTCCGCAAAGGTAGAAAAATAAAATCAGCAGAGTATTTGACTCCGGAACTCGCATTAAATTCGCACCCTGTTATGCATACATACATGTACATCTAAAATCACATATATAAATACGTGTACATGTGAACATACATTATACACAAATACATGTACATATGTTAAACATACTTAAACATAAATATATGTACATGAAACACTACTTTAAATACATGTACAGTGATGTAATACTAATTACAAATAAGTGTCCAGCGGAGCGACAGCCTCAGTCATAACGTCTACTGCGGAGACTCTGTGGTGGAGTGGTGGGATTCTTAGTAAACCCTGTTTAGTCCCCAAATGTGTTTCACGATTTACCGTGCAAACAGAAGTGGAAAGGCCACAGGGATGTAATCAGGAAGCCTTTCTCGAAGGGAATATTCGTTGGGATCGTTTATGAAAGTTGCCAGCAAGATCGAGCGCGTCACTTTTAAGTGTCTTAAGATTAAAGATGGAAGCTCCCATCGTACGCTGTATAGCAACAAACTATTTCAGACAGAATATCGGTAAACAATCATTCCATTTACCTACTAAGCCGCTACCAGGCTGAAATAGAGAGCTGTCACCTGTAAAGCTAATTAACGTCATGTGCAAAAACTACACAGTAGGCCCTACTATCACCACCACATGCACTGGCAGTGGCCACTGGCAGTGCATCCAGTTACATGTAACACACTGACAGTACAGAATGCCATAGAAATTATACGATTTAAGGATAAAACCTTCTTCAATTGCGAAATTTAGCTTTTTGAAATTTCACTGCTGAAACATTAGTAGCCCTCAATACATCGAGGCATGTATAGATTCTCACTAGCAAAACCCGGACAGTCAAATTCTTTGCTACAGTAACAAATCCATGCTAACTCTCTTGAGGGTCAAAAAGGTTTCAGAACACTTGCTCTTTCGCATGTCAGCGGAAAGTACATTGTCATGGTCCTTTCAATAAAAGTCATAAAAATGGTTAGGTCATGGCCTAAAACAAGAATAGTTTTTCATATCGCCTACCCATCAGACATGTCCTTCAGAAAATGTTCTAAAACACTCTGCTCTGTGCCCCATTGACCTTTGACCTTTGTGACCTCCAATTTCGGCACAAGTGATGGCATTTGCCTACCATGATGCCTACACCGACTATCCACAGCCGTAGGTGAGCCGTTTAGATTGTTGCTGGCGCAATTCTGCAT